GGGGGGTATCTGGGGGGGGGGCTCTGTTCCTGGGGGGGCTCTGAGCCGGTGCCCCCCAGGCCGGAGCCGAGATCTCCACGGTGCACCCCGAGCAGTACGCCAAGCGCTTCCTCGACTTCATCACCAACATCTTCGCCTGAGGGGGGCTCAGCCGGCCCCCCCCGCGGGACCAAACCCCCCCAGCGTGTGCTGCCCCCCCCCCACGCCCCCGAGTGTGGGGGGCACCCCAAACTGGGGGGAGGGCATTTCCCAACTGGGGGGTGGGCACCCTAAACTGGGAGGGGGACCCCAAAGTGTGGGGGCACCCCAGACTGGGGGGTGGTACTTCCCAATTGGGGAGTGGGCACCCACACTGGGGGTGGGCAGTTCCCAAACTGGGGGAAGAGGGGGTACTTCCCAGCTGGGGGTGGCAGGGCTGGTTCCCTCTCGGTGTTTTGGGGAGGGGGGTTATTGGAGTGTGGGGACAGGGTGGGGTTGCCACAGCACCCCCCCAGTGGGGTTTCACTGCTCAAGTGCCTTAACTTTATGTCAGGGGGTCCGGGGGGGCTCCAGCCCCAGCACTGGGGGGGTCTGGGGTGCCCCCCCTGCACAAGGGGACCCTTCTGCCCCTCCCAAAGCTGGGAGGGGGTCAAACACTACTTGCCCCAGAGTGGGGGGGGTGAAAGGGGCGCCCCCAGTCCTCACTGGGGGTGCAGCCCCCACCCCTATTCCAAATGAGGGTGGGGGGCACCCCCTGCCCCCCTCCGTGTGGGACCTGGGGGGCTCCACAGCTCCCCCCCTTTACTGCAGCTCCCGGGGGGCAGGGGAGGACCCCGGCCCGGTGGGACCCCCGGGGGGGGCGGGGCCTGCCGGGCCGACACCCCCTCCTCACTTTGTGGGGGTGTCGTGTGTTGTGTCCCCCACCCCATTTTTGGGGCTCCTTGCCCCGCTCTGTACTGAGAAATAAATTATTGAACGGACCCTGCGTGCCCCATTCCCTGAGCCCCTCGGACCCCCTGCGCCCCCCAGACCCCGGGTCCCCTATTGCCAGGTGTGAGACTGGGCAGGGACCCCCAAACCCCTCAGAGCCTGGGCAGGGACCCCCAAACCCCTCTGACACTGGGCAGGGACCCCCAAACCCCTCTGACACTGGGCAGGGACCCCCAAACTCCTCTGAGACTGGGCATGGAGCCCCCCAAACCCCTGTGAGACCGGGCAGGGACCCCCAAAATCCTCTCAGAGCCTGGGCATAGACCTCTAAAAGTGCCTGAGACTGAGCCGGGACCCCCGAATTCCCGGCCCCGCCCCCCGCTTAGGCTCCGCCCCCGCCTTTCGTCTGGGGGTGGTGGGGGCCGTCTGTAACCCCCCCGTGTCCCCCCCCGTGTCCCCCCAGCCCCGGGCTCGTGGCTCTGCTGATCCTCCGCGCTCCGCTCGTGTCCCCCATGGGCTCACCAGGTGGGTGTGGGGGGGACACCCCGCTCTGGGGACCCCCCCGGGCCTGGGACGCCCCCTCGTGCACGGGCCTGGCTTTGGGGACCCCCTTTGGACCCTTCCCCCCTGGCTGTGGGACCCCCCAGGCCATGGAGCATCCCCGGCTTCTGGGGATCCCCCTCGGGCACCCCCCGGTTTTTGGGGCACCCCCTGGGTTCTGAGGACCCCCCTAAGGCATCCCCCAGGTTTTGGAGACCCCCTTTGCACGCCCCGGGTTCTGGGGACCCCCTCGGGCACCTCCCTGTTTTTGGGACCCCCTCTTGCACCCTCCTGGGTTCTGGGGACCCCCCTCGAGCACCCCCGAGTTCTGGTGACCCCCCGTGTGGACCCCCCCAATTTTGGGGACCCTCTCGGGCACCCCCGGCTTCTGGGGACCCCCCTCACGCATCCCCCAGGTTGTGGGGACCCCCTTTGCACCTTCTGGGTTCTGGGGACCCCCTCGGGCACCCCCCGAATTCTGGGGACCCCCCGTGTGCACCCCCCGAATTCTGGGGACCCTCTCGGGCACCACCGGCTTCTGGGGACCGCCCTCACGCATCCCCCAGGTTGTGGGGGGGGGGTTCTGGGGACCCCCTCGGGCACCCCCCGAATTCTGGGGACCCCCCGTGTGCACCCCCCAAATTCTGGGGACCCTCTCGGGCACCCCCCGGTTCTGGGGACATCCCTAGGACACCCCCTGTTTTTGGGACCCCCATCGGGCCCTCCCCGGGTTTTGGGGACCCCCCCCTCGGGCACCCCCAGGGTCACACCCCCCCGGGTGTCCCGGATTTGGGGACAGGACAGGTTTAACCCTTGGGTGGCACTTGGGTGGGTGAACCAGGGGTCCCCCCAGGGTTTGGGGGGCACTGTGGAGCCCCCCAGGGTGCCCTGTCCGGGCTCTGGGGGGGTCCCTCAGTGCCCACACTCGGGGGGTTTTGGGGGGCCGTGTTCAGATCTTGCTGGGTTTTGGGGTGACCCACAGTCCCCAGGCTCTGGGCTTTTGGGGTCTCCAAGCCCAGTGCCAGGGGATTTTGGGGGTCCATGCCCTTTGTCAGAGGGTTTTTTGCGGGTCCGTGCCCAGTTCAGAGGGGTTTGGGGTCGTCTGTGTCCAGTCTCAGAAGTTTGGGGGTCCCTGCTCAGCCTCTGAGAGTTTTTGGGGTCCATATCACCCCCTGTTTTTGGGACCCCCATCGGGCCCACCCCGGGTTTTGGGGACCCCCCCTCGGGCACCCCCAGGGTCACACCCCCCGGGTGTCCCGGATTTGGGGACAGGACAGGTTTAACCCTTGGGTGGCACTTGGGTGGGTGAACCAGGGGTCCCCCCAGGGTTTGGGGGGCACTGTGGAGCCCCCCGGGGTGCCCTGTCCGGGCTCTGGGGGGGTCCCTCAGTGCCCACACTCGGGGGGTTTTGGGGGGCCGTGTTCAGATCTTGCTGGGTTTTGGGGTGACCCACAGTCCCTAGGCTCTGGGCTCTTGGGGTCTCCAAGCCCAGTGCCAGGGAATTTTGGGGGTCCATGCTCTGTGTCAGAGGGGTTTTGGGGGTCCATGCCCAGTTCAGAGGGGTTTGGGGTCGTCTGTGTCCAGTCTCAGAAGTTTGGGGGTCCCTGCTCAGCCTCTGAGAGTTTTTGGGGTCCATATCCTGTCTCAGACAATTTTGGGGGTCCATGCCCAGGTTCTCTGAGGTTTTGGGGGGTCCATTCCCAGTCTCAGAAGTTTCGAGGCCCCTGCTCAGTCTCTGGCAGTTTTGGGGGTCCATGCCCTGGCTCAGAGAGGTTTTGGGGCTCCATGCCCAGTCTCAGATGATTTTGGGGGTCCATGCCCAGGCTCAGAGAGGTTTTGGGGCTCCATGCCCAGTCTCAGATGATTTTGGGGGTCCATGCCCAGGCTCAGAGAGGTTTTGGGGCTCCATGCCCAGTCTCAGATGATTTTGGGGGTCCATGCCCTGGCTCAGAGAGGTTTTGGGGCTCCATGCCCAGTCTCAGGCTTTGCAGATCCCACGCCCAGATTTTGGGGTTCAGAGGGTCCCACGGCCAGCCCTTGATGGTTTTGGGGTGCCCCTCCCCATGTTTGTCCTGTCAAGGATGTCGGGGTGTGTGGGGGCCATCAGGTGATGCTGCCAGTGGGGGTCCAGTCCCTGGTGGTTTTGGGGGTCCCATGCCCAGTCTCACAGTGGTTTTGGGGGTCCCATGCCCAGTCTCACAGTGGTTTTGGGGGTCCCATGCCCAGTCCCTGGGGGGCCGTGTTCAGATCTTGCTGGGTTTTGGGGTGACCCACAGTCCCCAGGCTCTGGGCTTTTGGGGTCTCCAAGCCCAGTGCCAGGGGATTTTGGGGGTCCATGCCCTTTGTCAGAGGGTTTTTTGCGGGTCCGTGCCCAGTTCAGAGGGGTTTGGGGTCGTCTGTGTCCAGTCTCAGAAGTTTGGGGGTCCCTGCTCAGCCTCTGAGAGTTTTTGGGGTCCATATCCTGTCTCAGACAATTTTGGGGGTCCATGCCCAGGTTCTCTGAGGTTTTGGGGGGTCCATTCCCAGTCTCAGAAGTTTCGAGGCCCCTGCTCAGTCTCTGGCAGTTTTGGGGGTCCATGCCCTGGCTCAGAGAGGTTTTGGGGCTCCATGCCCAGTCTCAGATGATTTTGGGGGTCCATGCCCTGGCTCAGAGAGGTTTTGGGGCTCCATGCCCAGTCTCAGGCTTTGCAGATCCCACGCCCAGATTTTGGGGTTCAGAGGGTCCCACGGCCAGCCCTTGATGGTTTTGGGGTGCCCCTCCCCATGTTTGTCCTGTCAAGGATGTCGGGCTGTGTGGGGGCCATCAGGTGATGCTGCCAGTGGGGGTCCAGTCCCTGGTGGTTTTGGGGGTCCCATGCCCAGTCTCACAGTGGTTTTGGGGGTCCCATGCCCAGTCCCTGGCAGTTTTGGGGGTCCCATGCCCAGTCCCTGGCAGTTTTGGGGGTCCCATGCCCAGTCCCTGGCAGTTTTGGGGGTCCCATGCCCAGTCCCTGGCAGTTTTGGGGGTCCCATGCCCAGTCCCTGGCAGTTTTGGGGGTCCCATGCCCAGTCCCTGGCAGTTTTGGGGGTCCCATGCCCAGTCCCTGGGGTTTTGGGGGTCCCATGCCAGTCCCTGGGGTTTTTGGGGGTCCCATGCCCACTCCCGGGTGTTTCAGGGGCCCGTACTCAGTCCCGGGTGTTTCGGGGTGCCCGTGGCTGTTTCGGGGTGTCCGTGCCCACTCCCTGATGTTACGGGGTGCCCGTTCCCAGCCCCGTCTGCCCGGTGCCCGTTCCCGCTGCCCGGTGCCCGTTCCCATCCCCGCTGTCAGGGTGCCCGTTCCCATCCCCAGGTGCCCAGCGCCCGTTCCCAGCCCCACTGCCCGGTGCCCGTTCCCGGTGCCCGTTCCTGGTGCCCGTTCCCGCTGTCCAGTGCCCGTCCCCGTCTGCCCGGTGCCCGTTCCCGGGTGCCCGTTTCCATCCCCGCTGCCCGGTGCCCATTCCTGGTGCCCATCCCCGCTGCCCGGTGCCCATTCCCGGTGCCCCTCCCCGCTGCCCGGTGCCCGTTCCCGCTGCCCGGTGTCCGTTCCCATCCCCAGGTGCCCGGTGCCCGTTCCCATCCCCGCTGCCCGGTGCCCGGTGCCCGTTCCCATCCCCGGTGCCCGTCCCCGTCCCCGCTGCCTGTCCCCGCTGCCCGGTGCCCATTCCCATCCCCGCTGCCCGGTGCCCGTCCCTGCTGCCCGATGCCCGGTGCCCGTTCCCATCCCCGCTGCCTGTCCCCGCCGTTCCCGCTGCCCGGTGCCCGTTCCCATCCCCGCTGCCCGTCCCCGCTGCCCGGTGCCTGTTTCCATCCCTGTTTCCATCCCCGCTGCCCGGTGCCCATTCCCGGTGCCCCTCCCCGCTGCCCGGTGCCCGTTCCCGCTGCCCGGTGTCCGTTCCCATCCCCAGGTGCCCGGTGCCCGTTCCCATCCCCGCTGCCCGGTGCCCGGTGCCCGTTCCCATCCCCGGTGCCCGTCCCCGTCCCCGCTGCCTGTCCCCGCTGCCCGGTGCCCATTCCCATCCCCGCTGCCCGGTGCCCGTCCCTGCTGCCCGATGCCCGGTGCCCGTTCCCATCCCCGCTGCCCGTCCCCGCTGCCCGGTGCCCATTCCCATCCCCGCTGCCCGTCCCCGCTGCCCGGTGCCCCCCAGATTTTGGGGTTCAGAGGGTCCCACGGCCAGCCCTTGATGGTTTTGGGGTGCCCCTCCCCATGTTTGTCCTGTCAAGGATGTCGGGCTGTGTGGGGGCCATCAGGTGATGCTGCCAGTGGGGGTCCAGTCCCTGGTGGTTTTGGGGGTCCCATGCCCAGTCCCTGGTGGTTTTGGGGGTCCCATGCCCAGTCCCTGGTGGTTTTGGGGGTCCCATGCCCAGTCCCTGGCAGTTTTGGGGGTCCCATGCCCAGTCCCTGGGGTTTTGGGGGTCCCATGCCCACTCCCGGGTGTTTCAGGGGCCCGTACTCAGTCCCGGGTGTTTCGGGGTGCCCGTGGCTGTTTCGGG